ATTTGACCAGTTCGAACGACAGCAGCACGGCAATCATGCACCCCACGGCCCAAAACGACTCGAGGATGACGATGATGCGGCCGCGGACGGACGTAGGGACCATCTCCTGCACGAGCGCCGACGCCACGGGCAACTCGCCGCCCAGGCCAAACCCTGCCAGGAACCGGAACACCAGCAACGTGGCAAAGCCGTCAGACACGCCGCAGAGGAGGGTGCCGGCCATAAACACGAGCAGCGTGACCATGAACATGGGCTTGCGGCCGTAGAGATCGGCCAACTGGCCGAACAGAAACGATCCAAAGAGAGACCCGGCAAAGGCCGCCGAGCCCAGGAGGCCGGCTTCTTGGCTCGTGGGGGAGATGCCCAGGTCCGTGCCCCATCCACCAGGAGCTAGGCCGAGGTAGATGAACACAAACGTGTCCATCGAGTCCATAGCCCAGCCAAAACCGGTCTTGGCAAGGAGGCCCCAGTAGTGGCCGCTGATGCTGAGCAGACCAGGGGTCGGCAGGGCGTCAAGGCGGCGGGTGATTTCGTGGACGTTGGATGCAGTCATGACACTCAAGGCCAAATTGGAAAATGAAGGCGAGGTTTTCAGAACAGAAATCGGACGAGTGAGTCATTCAATATTTCGTGGCACCAGATGGGGCGTTACAACCCTCTGTTGGGAAAACGATAGGTGGGAGGAGGTATCACGATCGACAGTACACTTGACTTTTGTATTTGAGCGTACAGCGTGAGTTTGCTAGTGGGAAGCACGGCAACGCAGCATGCGAAGTGGTCTTAGTAGCTAAAGTTGCACCTTCCGTCGATAACACGATATTGATTTATATTTTCCAATCTGGATGGGAATATTGCTTTCCTAGAGAATCACTTGTTCTACGACCGTGTGCTTGTGTGTAGTACAGTAATTCAACCACTTGTCAAGAGTAAACTAACCTAATAGTACTGTATAGCACTTTTCGTATTAGGTCACCAAACCAGAGAGCAATGTCGAGACTTTTTTGGGCCTATAAAATACTACTAGTACTAATTAGTACCATATTACGAAGTATGTTGGAAAGTTGTCGACAGGACAATGGAGTTTTGAGTCAACTTTTGCACGCAACTATGGTAAGTTAACTGACCATAGTTGCATGCAAAAGTTGACTCAAAACTCCATTGTGTAAATAATAAATAATTTGTAGTATAAACGATTTACGAAACAAACGCGAAACAAAATAAGGTAATCCATCAAATATCGCGAACGCCATCAATATTGTCATTATATCCAATCCAATGGCTTCATTCTGTAATTAGGAGTTTTCAGTTGATATGATTATATTCAGCCAAAGGATCAGGAACCACCTTGAAGTTCAAAACTTTATTCATGTTTATGTTGTCCAATACAAATTTCAAATTGTATCTTATTATAATGCCTTCAAATTTAATGTAGAATTGAGTCATGTATAAATAAATAAATTAAAACGCGTCATGACACCCAGGTATAATATTTTGTATATTAGTACTACACCATTTTGCGTTTACAGTTAATTTCAGCTTTTTTTCAATATATTTCCACCAACCTCCGATATATTTTACCGAATCGCCAATATAATTCCCCCAACCTCTATTATATTTCACGCCGAATTGAAATTTGGCCATTATATTTCACCCAACCCCCGATATAATTCACCCAACTAACGGATAATTTCACCTTTCGAAAATATATTTCACCTGACCACCTATATATTTCATGAAAAGTAAATTCTTTACGCCCGAGAGAGTGAAAACCAACACATCTACGGCTCAAGCACCAACGTCCAAGTCTTGCATCTTCGTAGCACGGACGTAAAACGGCTCAAAGAGAGCAGTGTACACATGCAAGTGATTCGGCTCAATTCATATTCCATTGTTAAGTCAAATACGATACAAATGCACTGAATACCTTCAATTGCCTCGTCCCCTGTGTGTTCCAAGTATTGCATGCGAAACTCATTACGAGTTTGGCCATCGGTGGCAGCCCCATATCCGATCGTTTTGTGTATGGTATGTAGCTTACCGCGTTGCATTGGTGTCAACGACTTTAACATGAGCCATCCTTTTGCAGTGGACTCGTTGATTCCATATGTACGAGCAAAGGTCTTCCAGTTTTGTCCGGCGTCGAGTGCTGCAACCACACGTCTCTTGGCAGAGAGGAGAACTTGCTTGTAGGGAAACGTGAAATTAACCTGTGGTTGGGTGAATTATAACGAAGATTGGGTGAAATATAACGGCGATATTATATGTCGGCGTGAAATATAATGGAGGTTGGGTGAATTATATTGGCGATTTAGTGAAATTTATCGGAGGTTGGTGGAAATATTTTGAAATAAAGCTGAAAATAAACGCAAAATGGTGTAGTATTCCATACATACAAACTCCTTTATGTAATTGTTGAAGATATTACGACCGTTCGCGAAATACAAAGCCAAAAAAGTTTCATCAATTCTTTAACGGGGTATTTCAGGCACTTCTTGGTACTAAAAAATGCAGCTGGATTAATATTTTCCAACGCTATCTTTAGTTTTTTTATTCGAGTGACTTTTGTGGTGGAGTCCTTCAAACATTGACATTTTAGTGCACAAAAAGCTTCGCGATATTGATGGATTACCTTACACCAGACTGCTAGCAATCACGAAACACGTTTTTGTTTCGTAAATCCAATATATCTAATTCATGCTTTCTTGAGATTTGTATGCGATTACTTGTATCTTAGATATATGGTGATTTACAAAATAATCGATCAGTCCGAAAACTCAAATGGGTCGCTCTAAGCGCACCGCAAGGAACGCCAGCTCCACGGATGAGACTGCAGACGATGTGATAGCCCTGCACATAGTTGCAGACATGAGACTACAGTACGACGCCATCATAACCAGTCTTGTGAGGTGGCTTGAACGGGAGCACCCCAAGTATATTGAGCACGGCGTGCTGGTCCTACCTGTCTCGCTTCCTGCAGGCAAATCTTATGCTCTCCTACGCATCACTGAAACGATACAAAGACGGCAGCGAACATGTGCCACGACAGTATAACTCCGTGTCGACTGTCAATCGGTTGAAGAGTTCAGTACTCTTCTTGCACAAAGAGTCAGGTGTTGAGGTTAGCGTCAAAATGTGCAACATGATGAAGGTAAGATGCTGCATTGCATTTTGTCGACAATATCATATTCATTAATATCATATTCATAGTCTGTTATCATAGATTTCGTTAGCGGGTACAAGCGAAAGTATATCCAGCTCAAGGATACCGGTGAAGTGCCCATGACAGTTGGAAATGCATCCCTTATGCTACAGTGCGCGCCAGGTGGATAAAGCCACCCTGTTTTGTTGTAATTGCTTTTGACGTATGTCCTTATTCGATTAGCAGATGTTTATGAACGAATTGATATGCCAATTACAAAAGAATTCCAACTCCACGGGCACAACTACTTCGAAAATCTAGTCAATATGAGAACTTTATGAAAAATCACTGCGCCAGGTGGTTAAAGCCACCTCAGAAAAATCAATGTATTTTCAACACAAATCGCTGTTATTGACCCAAATCAATTTATTAGTACTTTGTTTTACCTCCTTTAGCTACTACAACGTCAACACAACGGTCTTGCATCGATCGAATCAACTTGTCGAGATAAGTTTGACTCAAGCCAGACCATGCATGCTTGATGGCCTCGACGAGGTCATGCAGTGTCATAAATTGACGTCCGTTCGCATAAACCGAACGTGCTAGGACCCCCCACAAGTTTTCAATTGGATTTAGGTCGGGAAAAAGGGAAGGGTGGTCAAAAATGTCCACCCCATTCTCCGCAAACCAGGCCATTGTGGTCTTCGACCGATGGATTGACGCCCCATCTTGCATAAACGTAAATCTGGGGCCGTAGTGGCAATGGCCAAAGGGTAGCAAATAGTTCTCCAATGTTTCAACGTAGTCGTCAGCCTTTTGGTTGCCCTCCAAGAAGGCCAACTCTGACAAACCTTTCGACGAAAACGCGCCCCAGACCATGACGCCACCACCACCATTTTGGCGCGTCAAAAAGGTGTCAGGCTCCTTCCGTAAGTCATGCCAATAGGACTGAAACCCATCCGGTCCATCGAGATTAATCTTCTTCTCGTCGGACCAGATGATTTTAGTCCAATTGGTTGACTCACGGAGGTGTCGCTTGGCATACTCCACCCGCGCGATCTTGTGCTTAGCTTGGAGGTTGGGCATGTGCTTCCGCTTCTCGTAGTTGAGAATTGGACTTTGTTGCAGGCGTCGTTGGCATGTCCGGAGTGAGGCGTCCAAATTCAGGGTGGTCTTGAGCAGTCGCGCGGACGATCCAACCTTGGAGGCTTCCCGGAGCAGAAGTCGGCACGCACTGCCAACGAGAATTTTTGGCTTCATGCCGTTGTATCTCGTGCCATAGTAGAAAGCTGAGCGTCTTTACCCATCCTATGGCATTCTTATTGTTCGTTGTCGGGGTGTATTTGTGTGTTATAGTGCTTACCATGCACGTGACAAAAGTCTGTTAGCTGTGCGTGGGGTGTAGTTGTTGCTTGGGGTCTGAATTGCATGTGGCTTTATTTCCCTGGCGCGGTCAAAAAACGTTCATGTTGCAGTCAACAACGCTCAACTCAACCAATTGACCTAAAATTCTATGTGAAAACTCCACCAATCATACTCGTTTCACGGGTGCATTTTGCGGAGCAGAACTCTTGATTGGCGGGATTTTTCTCTTGAAAAATAGGGTGGCTTTATCCACCTGGCGCGCACTGTAGTATACTAGTATATATATATTCATTGTTGTTCAGTTATCGGATTTTGGCGGCCGCTGCACTGACATCCAAAACAGATTATGCATTGCACATCACGGTGCATGCGTTCTTGGTTTTGTGTTGGAACTTGATGGCACGAGCTGTTTCAGCGTCCACGCTTCGATACGAGCATGTGTCGTGGAAAAGTATGCAGCTCAGCCTTACACTCATATATTAATAACATATTCTCACAATTTGTAGACGACGCACTTGAAATTCAGTACGGTGTAATGAAGAATGACCAAGACGGCCATATGTCATTTGCAAGGCATGTGTACGCCAACCCATTGAACCCTGAAATTTGCCCTGTGCTGAGGTATATATAGTTGTATTTTGTGTGTGCTAAATATATTGTGTTGTCACTAGTTTGGGCGTGTTGCTGTTTACTCGTGGCGCCAACCTCCCAGGCTCGCCGTCCCTCGTGTTCGGCTACAATGCCAAGGAACATTTCTCAACTTGGCTCCGCAACACGTGTTCCAACTCTGAAGACGACATCGTGTCGATGGGCTTGGCCATTTCGGATATTGGCACTCACTCATTTCGCAAAGACGTGGCCAGTTCTTTGTCCAACTGTCCTGGGGGTCCATAGGCAGTGTCGATCTGGCTCCGTGCGGGGTGGAGTTTGGGCAGTGTATAAGGTCAGTACATTTTCGAGGGTTCAGGGGAGACCAATTTGTTGGCCCCGAAGCAACAGGTATTCCCAAAATATTAATTATTAGGTTATGTGAATAATACATTAAATTTTTTTAATGTAAGGCCTCAATGTGAACGACCCGAGTTCGGTGCTTTGCCCCCCCCGTTTTGGCAATATGGCAGTCGTTACGCCCGCACAGTGGGAACAAATCCTGCCAGGATATTTCACGTTTTATCCCCCGTCGTTTCGCTCAGCCATCCCTTTTCTCTTGGTCTCATTGGTGCACCATCATGATTGGCTGAACAGGACTCTCCATCCCTCGCATCCCCTGTTTCTTTCCACTCCTTTGGTGTCCGGGTTACTGACCACACTAGTGCCAAACGTGTATTTGGGCAACTTGCACAACCCTGCTACTAACATGGTGGCACCTGGAATCCCCCCATATACCACTCTACCAGCAGCTACGTGACACGCAGCAATCGATAACTAGTGTGAACACCGCGCTGGAAACTGGTTTTAGTAGAATTCCTCAACAAATTCTAAGTGGAATTGAGTCTGGTGTGCCTGGCGATAGCCCTGTCACGATGGGGTTATTGCGCCACACTTGGCCAATTATTTCTCTTCAAACTGCCCCTCCTCCCTCCCTGCATTCCCCCTTCCACCCACCCCCACCATCAACCAGCACCACGGCGGCACCAACGTAAAGCACGGAGTCATCTACTGATGGTCATGCTGCAGTTCCTGCTACACAGTGGTGGGTTCAACGTGAGGTCACATCTCATGCCTTAACCTGTCCCTCGGGAAAGGTGTACGACCTTTGGAATTTGTATTGGCTCGGAAACAAGGATCAAAACCTCCCACCCCTCCGCCAGTTGTGCGCTAAACATTTTGCAACTCGGAAGGACCAATCTAATTTTGTCAAAGTGAAGAAGGTAGTGTCAGCAATTGTGTTGTTTGCAGGGTGCACCGAACATGCTATGGGGTCAATGGAATTACCTCAGCTCAACGCACTGTACGAGCGTGCATTTGCATCCTTTTGCCAAAAAATATTTGGCGTACACCACCCGGCACAACTTGCTAAACGACGTGTCGCTGAAATGAGCTACCATACTATGTACAATCTTTTAGGCAAACAATAAGGTCATATAAATGCTTCTACTGGCTTTACATCGATTTTTGCATCGCATTACTAACGATTTTTGCATCACACCATACACCATGATCACGTTGAAAATGAGTTATTTATTCAATACTTCGATCTTTGTACTGCAGTGTTGGTCAGCGTTTGAATCGAAGACTCGATGCTTGATTTTATACAGAAAGCAATAATGAGAGATTTTCATAGTCAGCCAAAGTTACAATCTCCATGAACGGTCACCAATCAAGCTACAACTTACAGCTCTTGCTGCCCGGTGACAATTCAATCTGGATGCTGGGCTCACATATTAGCAATGCTGTATAGCTTCACTGATTTACCTCAATGGAATAGATATACTTTGCTATACGAGGTACCCGGCACGTCGAGCGACAATCGTGGCCGCTCTCATATCGGCCTTGTGGGCCTTGTAGTGCGCGAATTGCCTGATTAAACTACTGAAGGAAGTGAATGTTAGCTACTGCGCGTAGTATGTGAACGTACCTTGGTGATCAACGACCTTGCTTGCCGTCCCAATCCCAACTCGGCCCGCCGCGTCATCGTCTTGTTGGTCCTGCTGCTTCATGTAACTGCTGTAGACCATGTGTGTTAACATTGTTACCCAGATAAAGGGAAGTAGTAGTAGGGTACAAACGGAATTGTATTCCAGTTCGTACAACTTGTTTTCATTGGCTACAGTATTAACAGTAAGCCCTGGAGTCGTATTAACATTAAGCACTGGAGTACTACGTAGTAATACGACTTGCTCACTTAAAAGCAATGGCGTCATACAGTAAGCTTATTAGCCCCAATTTCGACAATTCCGGACTCCAGTTGAACTGTGAAGCAACACACACGCAGAACATTAATTGTATTGTGATCAGAATTCGTAGGAGTCATTTTCGGCGAAATATATTTTAACCAATCAAGTTGTACACGCTCATTTGATTGGTTATAATCACCCATTACTACTCTGGTCCGAAATACCACGTAGTAGTTGTTAGGTACCCCTTCTAATTGGTCCCATTTTTGCAAATATACGTATTCATTCCTTCTGATTGGTGGAAATAAAAGCCCGATATTTCCTCTTTGATTGGCTAGTTAATTCACCACACAGTTCATTCTTGTTCCGGAGTTGTGCGTTTGCATCACTCGCCGGACAATCAACTTAGCTAACATCGCTAACACTACGCCGATTACCTTTACGTATCCTCCTTGTAACATCTCCTAAGCTCATGGGATTCGCTGGCTTTTCTGCAGTCCGAACGGCCACCTTGACGTTTCATGTGCAGCCAAGGCCGCGACATTCTCGGTTACCTACTGGAAGACTCTGTCATCAAGCATATCGCGACATTACCAACCAATCATATCCTACTATAGATCACTCATTTACGTCGTACCCCTGGGGTCATGTACGGCACTCCTTTCGCCACGTCTACGCGGCGACTGGCGGCGCATGCCAAATTTGGGGTATTGACGTTTATATAATACTATATATTTACTTCGAAAATGTTCTATATCAGAGGTCATATTTGAGAAAAAATACATAAATCAAGTCACAATCGACTGGCGGCGCATGCCAATTTTGGGGTATTTACTTTATAATACTATATATTCACTTCGAAAATATTCTACTAGTGTATCAGAGGTCATGTTTGAGAAAAAATACATAAATCAAGTCACTATCGAACCTACCTAGTAACAACTATTTCAGACCATACTAGTGTTGGCTTTGGCATTCTTCGTGATGAATGGGGACATATCGATACTAACTCACCTTTCACGCTAAGAGCATCTCCACCGCGTAAAGAACAGAATTCCCCAGGTAGAACACTACACTGGTAACGCTAGGTGTATGCTGCTCTTAGCGATGGAGAGGGTAATGGTATTTACTCCGAAAGTTTCTCACAGTACACTGAATGTCGAAATCCCCAGAGGGGTGTGAAGTTGAATGCGAGTGACCGGCTGCATCTGTCGACGGCGCATTTTTTATTGACACCACGTCGACAATACAACTGTTTCTCGTACGCTTGATACCTCATCATGATTAGCACGCAGTAGTAGTATGAATGTAAGCGGAGTAATCTCAACCAACGAGCCTCTCATGTTCATCCACACGACGACCAGGACCAGCCTTATTAACCGATACAACGATGTCGTCATGTTCATACTGCTCGTAGCGTTGTAAGCGGCAGTGCCATCTCGATAATTGCGGCGAAGCATACTTCGCCGCAAATATCGACATAATGACCTAAAATGTCGTCATCCCTCTGGTGGTGGTAATGTGACGGTGGAGTATTGCAGCAGCAATGTGTTAATTACGTGGAAACGTTACATGGTTGTGAAGGGTGCAAGTGGGCGAAGACGATGGAGTAATGAAACGCTGTATGGAAGTGGGTGTAGTGGTGGGCAGTGGAGCGCAGCGGTGAACTTCCGCATTCGCGGCTGCGCTCCACCGTCCACCGCCGCCACCATACTGCGCATTTCGATATATATATTGATATCGGATCCATATTGGATTGAAGTGTAAGTAGCATACTGTATATTGATATCGGTTTAATATTGGATTGAAATGTAAGCAGCAGGTGTTAGTGTAGATGCATCAGGTAGGAGTGTCGAGAGCGGAATGTACCTTGGTTCACATTGGTCTGGCTTGACAGCGGTCAATGCTTGTTCTTGAATGCTTGGTCGATTTCACATCAATGATACTACTAGTACTGTAGTAGGTGTGTTTCGTAGTTTGTTTCGTAAATATCCAAGGTGGAGGATCCAATAATAGTACTAACCGCAACACATCTTCCTATCGGCACATCAGCTAAATATAACATGGAAAACGACTTTAGAACATCCTACTAATCATTTTTCAAACCAACCATGGCACGCAACAAATAACTCCGACATGCTCTAATCGTCCATCCGAACGAATCGACGTTCTTTTCCCCCAACGACGCCCGCTCGTGCTTCTTCAGGCCGAACCGCGCTTCCAAAAAAGATGGCGTTTCGTACAAGAATTTTGTTTGCAGTGTCTGCAGCTCGACGGTCCGTGTACAAAAGACAGCTGGACCAACCAACCTTTTCAGACACGTCTGAAACAACAATGTGAATTGGCATCAAAGCTATGGTTCGTTGGAAGAACATGGATGGCTTCCCTAATGACGGCTTTAAGAACACCGAGAAGAGCGAAGAAATGTAATAGCCATGGATTGGGTGACGCCTTCAGGAACAGCGAAAAGAGCCAAGAAATATACAGGGCCATGGATCCTGGACAATCTACCGCTCAAGTTCTTCGAAAAGAAGCGAACCAAGTCGAATATCAACTTCACAGGCTCTTCGAGCAAGTCACTCAAGCTATACATGCATGCAGTTGCCGTCAAAGTCGAAGAATCCATTTCGCACGAACTGCGAGGATAAAATATTGCCACATAAGAATTGCTGAGGACCACATAGGACTTGCTGAGAGCCACATAAGGATTGCTGAATCGCACATAGTTTTTGCTGAAGGACACATGAAATAGTTTTTGCTGAAGGACACATGAAATTTGCTGAATTGAATATAGAGTATGTTACACAACGAGACCCACTTCGGCAGGCAGGGCGTTAGGGCGTTATGAGAATTTCTGGACACATGTGACTATGAGCAATGTGATTGGTTATTGTAAATGAATTCAGAGCATGTGATTGGCTATTTCTCCCTAAGTTTCGTGATTTCAGGAGTGGGAGTACGTAACTGTAGCTACTAAAATTAGATCTGTTCAGTATTGAGTACTCATTGAGCTGTTTGTTCGCTGTTACTCCTCCGGGGGTGTGTGGTCCAATAGTCAAGAATGTGCTAACTTCGTTTATACTTGGCGCGCGTGGAACATCATTATGGACCACTGCCCTTTATGTATGGACAAGTTCAAAAGCATCTAATCTTGACTAAGGTGGGAATTATCTCACCCGACTACTCCAGGCATTAACATGGTGGCTCTGAGTACCATAATTTATCGGCACTCTATAAACAATTCTACTCTAATTCAGCTTATCTAATATAATATCACACCAATGTTCTGTACACAATGGAGTCCCAAAGTATTGTACTTGCAAATAGTATGCTGCACAAATACGAAGTATACAAAATGTATTATCGACCAAATTAGCTAACCAGCAAACATGATATATCAGGCAACGTGCAAACGACGGCGACGGCCGCGAACCTGATAATGGTGTTGGTCTTCAGCATCTGCACATCTCGTACGGCTTTTTTCAGTCGCCATGGCGGTGTACTCATTCCTGGAAGTCTGATCCCGACTTCGTTGGATACGGCCAGCACATGGCTGCAAATAGCGCCACGAATCCAAAGCAGACAATCGCACCGCAAGGCAGTTGGGTCTTGGGTTCGAACAACGATCCATCCACTCGCAGGTTGTTCGTGCAATTCAGAGCAAGGTTCATTGCAAGCGGCGCCCGGCCAGGAGGAAGGGGTAGGTGCATGCCTAGACGCCACCGCCATGTCAGCACCAACCACCATGCAGCCCCGCACACGAATGAACCATGCAAAGGGGTCGACGCCAGCACCTGCCACACCACTACGCATGTGCCATGCATGCCCAACTACTTCAGAATTGAAACCCCGAAAACCTCTTTCCTCCGGCACCCTCCTAACGCAGCCGCCCCATCGAACGTGAGGAAATAATGAAATGAGATGTAAGGACTGGCGAGCTTTCCACATACACTCTTATTGGACAACCACACACACACATAGACTGGCCAGATTCTACATTACTGCAAGTTCAAGTACAAAAAAGTACGATTGGTTTCGGGATTTGAACCCGTCCTCACCGACGCAAACAAGTACGGTCGGATGAATCACGTTAGAGCTGAACGACATGCTGCAGTTTGTTCACTTGGACGAGAAATGATTTTATATTACAAAGGTGAGTCGTAAGTATTACCTCGTGCCTGGTGAGAAAGAGCCAAAACGCGAGTGCAAAAGCAAACGGTATATTACGAAAGTGATGTTCCTTTGCGCGATGGCACGTCCACGCTACAACCACGCGACAGACAACTGGTGGGACGGCAAGATCGGTATTTGGCCCTTTGTCGAGCCCGTGACAGCGCAGCGTGACAGTGTGAACCGCAAAGCCGGCACCCTCGAAACAAATTCAATTACCGTGACAAAGGACGTGTACCGTACCTTTCTGCTGGACAAGGTCTTGCCTGCAATCGTCGCCAAATGGCCGCGCGCCGATAACACCATCAAGTTTCAGCACGACAATGCTCGCGCACATGTCACGCCAGAGGACGTGAAACTCAAGGCAGCCCTGGACACGTACAAGGCAGTCGGCTAGTCCATGTCGCTCGCCCCACATCCGCCAAACTCACCCGACACGAACGTCTTGGACCTTGGCTTCTTTGCTGCCATCCAATCCCTACAGCATCGCAAGTCAGCACGTACAATTAACGGGTTCGTTGGCCACGTGGTGAGTGCATTCATCTAGTACACTTTGGCGCATTTGAATCACACGTTCATGGCGCTGCAGTCCTGCCTGGTGGAGACCTTGAAGCTGTTCGGCGACAATGCCTACAAGGTGCCACACATGTCCAATGGGAAGGAATAGCGCAAGGGATTGCTACCGCAAAACGTGTCGCGCCCGAGGGATGTCTTCGAAGAAGCCAAGGTCAAGTTAGATGGCGTGGCATCTGCTAAGCTGGACCGTGTCCTAGCAGTGGAACTGGAGGAGGCTCGTTGCATCGACGAGCTCGCACAGGCACTCGAAAGCATTCCGCAGGACGACGACGAGCCGGGCGACATCATATTTGGCCCTATGTGACGCAGGAATCGATCCCATTAGTGTAGAAGATGACGAGTAAGCACCTACGGGTATGTGTGTTGGTATTGTGGATGGTCGTTGTGCTCGTTAGGAGGGTTCCTGAGGTAAACCCCCCTATGACGGCTTTGACCAATTCTGACAGTGCCATTCGATTTTGGAGGGGGGTTTACCTCAGCAGTGTCAGAATTGGTCAAAGCCGTCATTTGATTGGTCCTGAGACACAGATTTTGCATGCTTTAATTGGACGATTGTATCGTTACACCTGTATAATTACATTCTGGATTATTTGATATTGGAGGGTTCGTATTTTTATTCGAGGAGGCGTATATCCATTTTCTGATTCGCGCAATTATTTTGGAGCGGAGGGAGTAGTACTTAGGGTACCTGAAATATTGCAATATTCTGGCCCAAAACGCCATTTTGGGGCCGAATTCGATAAATCTGAAAATAATTGAAACATGTTTTAACCCAAACCCAATAATTCCACATCGGCTTTACTCGTTGACAGGGGTTCATTGTCAAATCGCCATATTACAAAATGGACCATTTACCTCCATTTTGAAAAATCATTTTTGGTTTATCCCATTTTGCCAGAAAATGGAATATACTATTAATACGTTGTATTGTGCTTTTCAACATTTCTGCCACTGGTTTTAGCAGCTTTAACGATTGAATGTTTTATATAAAGAAAGGTTGCACTTGCTCTAAAACGAAGCAAATCGAAGGTTCTGTCATTGGGCGAAATAATACACGTTGTTTTAGTAATTATAGGTGCAATGGCATGGAAGGGTTGCCAGCCACTTCGTGTCACCAGACAGTGGAGTACAGCGCCGCCATCGCATGGCCTAGCTTAGCATTGCACTAAAACACCGCGTTTGCCGAAATTTCATCGGCAAACACCCCTGCTAAGCAAACCTTGCTGGGAAAACCAGCCAAAAATTCCTTTGGCGTCCAATCAAACTGAAGCAAACCCATACGATCCATAAAATCACCTCTAATTAGAGCATGGAATTACTAAAAAGAGTGGTACGTTTGGTGCTTCGTTTTACTAAAACGAAGCTGGACTCAACGTAATACTACGTGTCCATGTTTAAAAGAGGGGTTTTAGTCCCAGAATAGCCAAAAGTTGTGAAAAGCACAATACCACATAGTCTGTAATCTTAGTCCAATGGTACTTGACTTGATTAAAGTATGTACTCCTGAGTATTGTGTGTTCTTCTCAAAATTTCCTCCTGTGGTTTGTTGAATGAACCGGCAAACAACCGCTGGACCTTCTAAATTTCATATATTTATAGAACTAAGTTGAAGTGGTATCTTTGTGACAGCAATATTTCTATCAATCTTTTTAGCCAATCATATTGCAAACTTCATTCTTTGTAGCCAATCATACGCCTTTGCTCGATTAGTCGCCGATTTCATCAATCCAAAATAGGCAAATTTGACTGAAAAGCACAATATTATACGGAATAAAACTCAATAATACTTCGAAGTATATGATAATTGTAAACGATTATAGAGGTTAAGGGTACGTCTGGTAACATTTCAAAAATATATTCCATTTTCTCGCAATGGGATTAACCAAAATGCCATTTTCAAAATGGAGGTAAAAGGTCCATTTTGTAATGTGGCGTTTTGGACCTCTTCAACGAGTAAATTCCACGTGGAATTTATTGGATTTGGGTTAACTGTAAAACTCTGCAACCAAGACATCTTTCAATTTTGGTCATATTTGTTGAATTCGGCCCTAAAATGGCGCTTTGGGCCTGAATATTGCAATATTTCCGTTACCAGACGCACCTTAATACCCCATGTTGAATGTGAAGGCTGTCGCGGCAATCGCCGTGGCGCCGTGAGCTCTCTGTATGTGTAGGATACAGGCTCGTTTACACTGTCAATGAATGACTTGTAGATAGATATATATATCATTGGAGGGTACAAGACCGAGTTGCGCGTAGAAAGGTCTCCTTAGGAAGTACTACCGGTAGTATCCTAGCATGACGCAGCGCTCGCCCACTCAGCAGGTCAGCCAGGCGAGGAAATACAACGGGGGTGTCAACAACGCCAGTGATTATGCCAGGATATCCTTATAATTGTTAGGTAGGATAAAACTGTAAGACTATGAGTGTACGCGATGACACCGACATTGATTGCTCACCGGATGAATGAAATTGTAAACGACTCGACGGATTTGGCAGATCATATCTTGGGAACGACGATGAATCATATTGAATGAACCAGCCAATCAACGACGAAATCCGCAGCTTTCTTTTCCACCAATCAGAAGCAATAAATAACAAGATTTACTGTTAATGCCGAAAGTTTGAAAACAGTTGGACTAACTGTAAGATATCGGACCACAGTAGAGTAATACTACTACGGTACTAATACGATAACTAGTACTACAGTACTACGTAGTATTAATACTACTAGTAACAGTAAGTACTTATTACTCCGAGTAAGTATGTACTCCGGAGTATTATCATAGACGACGCACCCTGAACTTTACAATACGCTACAGTAACGTTACTGCGGAGTACATTTGAGGTACAATTCTTAATTTACGTATACTGTACGGCATAACGTTAACAGTACTGTAAGTCGATCACGCCTGGACTGAGAGGACAAATACTAGTAGGTACGATGCCCCATCGAGTGTTCCCTGGATGTTCTACTTTGACCCGGATTCACGCGACACGCTGCACCCCATCATGAGCGGCGAGGTAATTTTGAGAAACTAGACACACAATAATTGGCTAAAATTACTTGATTTTATCAAAAACAACAGCGCAATTCGGTCGTGCTGCCCCTACCTCAATGTGGTACCAGTACTGTGTGCGCCGTCCCTCAGTGCAATCTGCGACCTGCAACCTGCAGCAAAACACTTGTAAGCGAAGCAGCCCTCGACGAGAAGCGGCGGCACGCGGAGTGTTGGCTGTACATACAAGTGTACTTTTCTAGTGTGGCTGATTGCAGTACAATTCCCTCAGTACAACAGTTCCACTGTTGTTTCGACCCGAAATACTGTTTCAATGAGGTTTATAAGGAACTTTGTATGGTCAGACCACCTCACCTCTTCCTAGACGTTAAGTGCATCTCAGTGGTTCGCGATGCAGTTAACCTTTAGCATCGTATGTACGTACTCACCGGGGGTAGGACGTAGCCCAGGTTCACAGGGCTACTGGCGAAAAGGTGTATCCGGATGTAAGAATTCCGTCATTGAAACAGTATTGGAACCGTTTTAATGAGGGAATTAGTCGTGTATGTACCCATGTAAGTCCTCTCACAGTCTTTCCATGCTGTTGGGACATACTGGGGCAAAGCATTTCTTCCGCGACCAGCTGGCAAGTGCAATCCGAATTAATAGAAGAAATGAAAACAACAATAATGTTCTGTCCGACTCACTTCAGGAATTCACATGTCTGGCGCAGCAGCAGTTCCGTCCGCGCGAGGGGTGGCGTTGGTGTCTCAGCGCCTCGACAACCTGCACGGGTCCAAGGGCGGATGCGGCGGCATCTCGGGCTACTACCTCAAGCTGCTGTTCGCGTCCGGGTTTGGCTGGGCCATGGACTCGATGGACACGTTCCTGTTCACGTACTGCCTGAAACCGATCAAGGACGAGTTTCAGAACGACTACAACCGCACGTTTTCACCGCACGAGCTGGGCATCCTCGGGTCGTCCGTGTTCGCGGGGTCGTTTGTCGGTGCATTCCTCTTTGGGTGTCTCGCAGATCAATTCGGCCGGCGTCCGGTGTTCCTGTGGACGATGGTAGTGTTCCTTGCAGGCATGGTCATGTGCGGTCTCGCCGACAGCTACGGCATGCTACTCACGTTCCGCTTCGTCACGGGTATCGGTCTCGGCGGCGAGCTTCCCGTGGCGTCGACGCTGGTGCAGGAGCTGTCCCCGAAGGCCATTCGCGGCCGCATGATCGTGCTTCTCGACGGCTTTTGGCCCGTGGGCTGCATGTTCGCCGTCGCGTTGGCCTTCGAGCTCATCAAGGTCATAACATGGCGCCAAGTGTTCTTCGTGTCTACGGCGCCCGTGCTCATCGCGATCATTCTCCGCGTGATGATCCCGGAATCTCCTAAGTGGCTCGCGTCTGTCGGTCGCAACCAAGACGCCAACCGCATCATTCAGGACATCGAGATCGCGCACGGCGTGTACTCGTACACCGCCAAGCTGGACCCGCATGTAGATGACCCCACCGCCAACGTGTTCTCGTACCGGCACCTCAGCACGTACCAGCGTGTGGCGCTGCTCTTCCGCGGCGAGTACCTCAAGCGCACGGTGGTGCTGTGGATCGTCTGGTTCGGCATCGCGTTTGCGTACTACGCCATTTACGTGTGGCTGCCCGTGATCGTGTCCTCCAGACCGGGAGCGTTCAACATCTACGGCACGTCCACATCTTTGTTTGTGATCCTGGCGTGGCAGATCCCGGGCTACTTTTCCGCCGCGTACATCGTCGAGAGGATTGGGCGCAAGCTGACGCTAGTGCTGTTCCTGTTTTGCTCGTTCGCGTCGGCGCTGATCTTTGGGTACGTCGAGCCGACGGAGGTGAACCTCATGTGCGCGGGGTCGTTCATGTCGTTCTCGATGCTCGGCGCGTGGGGCGCGTTGTACGCGTACACCCCGGAGAACTATCCAACCAACATCCGCGCCATGGGAGCGGCGTACCCGTCCGGATTCAGCCGCATCTCCGCCATCGCAGGCACGTACGTGATTCCTTTGCTGCACGAGGCAGGGTGGTCGCCCGAGTCGGTCATGTGGCTAAACGGCGCGATCCTCATGGTGTGCTGCGTGATCTTGTTCCTGTTTGGGTATGAAACCCGAGGCAAAGACATCGACGACGTGCTCGGGATGGGCAACCCCGCGGAGCTGCACAGCGGCCTCAGCGACCTCCTCAGCCCATACCCTGACTTGCTCGAGTGATTATTGCCACGGATGAATGTTTCCAAGAAAAGCGGGTTCTTTTTCTTTAAAGTGAGTGTCGTCAAACATGGCTACTAACTAGTGCATACTAAGTATTAAATACTAGTTACCGGGAATACTAGTAGCTCTTCTCACGCCGAATCTTGGCAAGCTTCAACCTTGCCTCAACAACCAACATGCATGACCTGGATTGTCATTTGCTCCCGCGAGCAAGGTGCATTACACATTCGTACCTCAGATGACAAGATGATGACCTCATTCTCGCAACGTAGTTACTGCAGTAATGCCATGTCCCTTCTTTGCTTGTTACAGTGTACTACTAGGAATAATAGTACAGTACTCCATAGCTATCATCAGTGCTTCAGAAGGAAGGATGGACGGCGGCAGTTCGTGGCCAAGGTTGCTTCATGGTAAAGTGACAGCACAGGAGACACACTATTAGAGAATTGCGACCTTTACTACTGAACCAGTAGTTCAGATTGCTGCTTGGTGGTTTGTGTGGATTTGTTCTTTGGGGGACCAACTACAGTACTGTACTGTACTGTACATACCTGGTACTACCAATGTAGTACTACAGGGTACTACTTACTGTACTGTAGCTGATGGATAACTTGATAACTTGAGAATTGCGATACAGCCAGTGTCGAGTTTTATGGCGTCATCAACCAGGTAGTACATCCATCCCCTTCCCATATGCATTCTCGTTGCCACCATCTCTGACCGACGCTTGGCCTTACTATCCCCTCCAGCTTATCCCGTTTCGACCTTGAAATCGTCCCCTCCACAAGTACAAACCGAGGGATTTACAGGGTTTTACCCATTTCTGCCCAACGCGATGACATAACTACGCCAGTCCAACTCGTGTGCCTCCACTGCCTATCAGTGTATTCACATCAGGTGAGGTGAGATGAATGGTTGTGGTTGGGTCGTTTCAAAGTGTTAAGCCTTTGTCGACCAAGTGTTGATCGCTGCCTTGCCTATCACATGGCCACGTTCGCCATTGCATCCTCTTGCGGCCTGTAGAAGGATACGCAGGGTGACGGTTTTGCCCATGTCATCCGTGATTGTTCGGTGGGACAAACAACATACTAGTACCAAGAGACAGGAACACGCGCCCCATCACACACAAACCTTGGTACAGTCACGTCACTTCAGAACTTGCCGGCATCCTACCACCAGTTGCAAGCATGGCGGACGTTCGAAGCATCACACAACGCCTCGACAGCTTGCCGCTCACGGGGTTCCTCAGCATCAGCGTGCACTACTGGGGCCTTCTCTTCAAGGCCGGGTTGGGCTGGGCGTTTGACGCCATGGACGTGTTCCTGTTCACGTACCTTGGCGCGGCGACGGGCGGCAATGGCGGGTGGATCAAGGAGCTCCAGCCCACGGCCCACGAGAAGGGTCTCCTGGGTTCGGCGTCGTTCGCCGGGTCGTTGTTTGGTTCGCTCATCTTTGGGCAACTGGCCGACGTGTACGGCCGCAAGAACATGTTCGCGGTGACGTTGCTCATCTTCATGGCCGGCACGCTCTTGTGCGGGACTGCCAACGACGTCGGCACCATGTTGGCGTTCCGTTTCATTGCCGGGTTTGGCTTGGGCGGCGAGTTGCCCGTGGCCTCGGCGCTCGTGCAGGAACTGGTCCCCACGGCCGTCCGCGGCCGCATCATCGTCATCCTAGAGTCGTTCTGGTCCGTGGGGTGCATGATCGCCGTGCTCATGGGGTTTGAACTGGTCAAGCATGTCAGCTGGCGCACGGTCTTCTACCTGTCGTGTATCCCCGCGGTGTGGGCCATCGTGATCCGGCTATGGGTGCCCGAGTCGCCCAAATGGCTCGCGTCCGTGGGCCGCACGGCCGAAGCCGACGCCATCGTCACCAAGATCGAAGCGTCGCATGGCGTCGTGTCCAAATCCGACGGCGACAAGGCGGACGTGGCCGCGACGTCGGGTGACGACGCCGGCTGGTCGGCGCTCAACCCACTGGACCGCCTGTGCATCTTGTTCCGCGGCGAGTTCCTTGTGCGCACCATCGTGCTGTGGACCGTCTGGATCGGCATCGCGTTCTCGTACTACGCCATCTACGTGTGGCTGCCCGTGCTCCGCAGCAAGGAAAAGGGCGGGTACAACATCTCTGGGTCGACGTGGGAGATCTTCTTTATCGTGTTCTGGCAGTTCCCAGGGTACCTCTCGGCGGCGTACCTGGTCGAGATCATCGGCCGCAAGATCACGCTGGTCGCGTACCTCTTTGGGTCGTTCGTGTCGGCACTGGCATTTGGGTACGTCGAGAACAACCAGGTGAACCTGCTCGTCACGGGCGCGTTCATGAGCTGGTTCATGCTCGGCGCGTGGGGCGCCTTGTACGCGTACACGCCCGAGAACTACCCGACAGCGATCCGCGCCACGGGGTGCTCGTACCCGAACGGATTCAGTCGCATCGGCGCGATTGCCGGGCCGTACGTGATGCCCCTGATGCTCGATGCCAAATGGAGCAGTACCACCATCATGTGGGTCGCGGGCGGCGCGCCCATGATCTTTGTGGCGCTCGTGTTGCTTGCGTTCGGCTTTGAAACGCGCGGCCAGGATGTTGAAGTGTGTCCTCGCATCGAAGCGTACTTGAAGGCCAAGGCGGGGATTGCTGTTCCGTCCAAGGACACCGTGGCCACGCCAGGTCCAGACAACTTTGAAATGAAGTAGTTTGCGTGACTCAATTAAGAGACATTTATAGGCAGCAGAATTAGATGATTGTTACCGTATAGTGTATATGTATTGCGACAGGTGATATTTCACAACCAGCCGACACTCGATCTCAAAACTTTGTTAATCCATTGCGTCATACAAATTTGAAGTATATTCAACATGTTCACAAGTAAATACTACGTAGTATCAGTTATAACAGAAGTCGCAATAGATTAATCCGTCGCAATACATATACACTATACGGTAATGGAATTCACAATTGCTCCTTTTTAATATCCAATCAGAGTCCATCACACCTTGTTTCTTACACACGATTGGCTATAAAACTGGCAGGAGAGGTTACAATTTTGAACTGTTTGTGAATTTTGTAGAGCTTTGTGTGATGTTGCTCCAGAGAATTGGGCACTGAAGTTCACTCTTACTATTTCCAATTTGATTCTCCCCTTGCAGCTAACACTATGTTGTGCGCTCGGTTGGGTCGCCATGTCATGGCTGCTCTGGTGGGCCAACAAGGTGGCGAAAGATGTCTTGGAACAATCGATGGACCAATCAAAACCCAATCAAGTAGCCAATCAAATCCACTCTTCAACGAGTGTGACTTAATTTAGTGTTATTACATACTAGTACTCCAGTACAAAAGTCAGTACAAAGAATCGATGGATAGGATTTGGTGAATTTGCACAAAAGTCCAAATTTCGGGGAAATATGTACATTCAAATTCCTTGTATTTGTTGTCGCACGTGTCGCACGTAGGATGACTCACCCACGACAAGTTGAACAGTGCATCATGTGGAGAATGAGTCACAGCGTCATTTTATTGAAGCGAGCACATTACATATGAAGGTTTGTATTGAAGGTTTGTCAGTTGGATAAAAATGTGGTTGACATTGCCCAAGCTCCACCACGAATGAACCCAGATGCTTCAGATCACGGGCCGAACAACTCAGCGGTTCGCTGGCTGGCTGGGGGAGTGCAAGCATTCATCTTCCTAGGAGAACGAGGAGCGTTGCAGGTACAGTCCGCCGTCCATATAGTAAGTACATATGGACTCCAGCCAATGAGGCTTTGAAGCGAGGGCAAGCGACGTCGTCCGCTACTTCCGTTGATGATGTGTACGAGAGAAAACAGAAAAGAATAAACGTGGCGTACGGTACGCGTTACATCAACAATGCTTCTCATTTTCCACATCGACTGGTCGCCCACAAGTGCCATGGCTGCATCGAACGTCCACGAAATCACCCGCCGCCTTGACGCCCTGCCGACCCCTGGTCTGCTCAGCATCAGCGGCCACTACTGGGGCCTCCTTGCCAAGACCGGGTTTGGCTGGGCTATGGACTCGATGGACACGTTTGTGTTCATCTACCTCGGCCTAGCTCCTGGTGGATGGGGCACGGACCTGGGCATCTCCCCCACGAGCCAAGAAGCCGGTCTCCTCGGTTCGGCGGCCTTTGCCGGGTCTCTCTTTGGCTCGTTTCTGTTTGGCCAGTTGGCCGATCTCTACGGCCGCAAGCCCATGTTCATGGTCACGCTGCTCGTGTTTATGGCCGGTACCCTCCTCTGCGGCGTGTCCGATGGCTTTGCCACATTGCTGGTGTTCCGGTTCCTGGCTGGGTTTGGCCTGGGCGGCGAGTTGCCCGTGGCGTCGGCGCTCGTGCAGGAGATGGTCCCTACGTCCGTCCGCGGCCGCATCATCGTCATCCTCGAGTCGTTTTGGGCCGTGGGGTGCATGATTGCCGTGCTGCTGTCGTTCGAACTGGTCAAATACGTGAGCTGGCGCGTGATCTTTTACATTTCGTCGATTCCTGCCCTCTACGCGATTGTCATCCGACTGTACGTGCCCGAGTCCCCCAAGTGGCTGGCGTCCGTGGGCCGGATGGACGAAGCGGAAGCCATCGTCGGTCGCATCGAAGCTGCGCACGGCGTCGTGGCCAACAAGGACGATACCAAGGCTGACGTGGCAGCCCCAGAGCTGTCCATTTGGACCAACTTGACGCAGTGGGAACGCGTGGGCATGCTCTTCCAAGGCGAGTTCCTGTCCCGAACCATCGTGCTGTGGACGGTCTGGACGGGTATTTCGTTCTCGTACTTCTCCATTTTCATCTGGCTGCCCCTCTTGCGAGCGTCCGAGTACAACATCAACCAGTCCACGTGGGAAATGCTCTTCATCGTGTTTTGGCAGCTGCCGGGGTACTTTTCCGCGGCGTACGTTGTCGAGGTCTTTGGCCGCAAGTTGACGCTGTTTGTGTTTTTGATTGGGTCGTTTGCATCGGCGCTGGCGTTTGGTTACGTGGAAGCGTCGCAGTGGAACTTGCTCATCACCGCGTCGTTCATGTCGTGGTTTATGCTCGGAGCGTGGGGGGCTTTGTACGCGTACACGCCTGAAAACTACCCCACCAACATCCGAGCCATGGGATGTGCGTACCCTGGCGGAGTGTCCCGCGTCGGCGCCATTGCAGGCTCGTACATCGTGCCCATCATGCTGGGTGCTGGCTGGGGCATCAAGACCATCATGTGGGTAGCTGGAGGCGTGCCTCTCATCTTCATCGCGCTGGTGTTGCTGGCAATTGGCTATGAAACTCGCGGTCAGGACTTGGAGTCATGCCCTCGCGTTGAAGCCATCTTGAAGGAGAAGTTTGGCCAATATGGGATTGTTTCTCCTGTGGATGATCGAAAGGACTCCGAGTAGTAAAAAAACAGAAATTCCGTCGTATGTTGGTCAAAACTTGACTTGTGATTGGCTTAAAATTCGAATTATCTACTGTTTTGACGACCAATTCAGCTTGGTATTTGAACCACTTGTTCATATTACATGGGGGTCGACCAAGTCACGATGGACACCTTCTCCGCCTTGAACACTCAAGATGCAAATCTCAGAGCTTCAGTGTGTTCCAGCACATGCCGGTCCTTCGTCTACAAGGCGCACCTGGCGCTGCATATAACCTCCGCTAGCGATGACACCCCGGCAATCACACCTCATCATCGAACGTTGTGTTGGCTACTCGACGATGGTACTCTTACGTGGACGACAATGACTGAGTGCGTCGAGTCCGTCCTCTGTCGCGCTGCCACTGTAGATGATTCAGACTTTCTCAACGAACGTTTCTTCATCACCACGGCGACAGGCGAAGTGTACACGTGCTACTCGAAGTGCCGCCTTGAGCGCGATGCATGGATGCACGCGCTGCTGTCCACCTTGCACAACAATGCCCCTCCCTCATCTCCTCACGATGATCCTTCCGACAGCATGGATCGCATCGTCGCTTGTTCTGCCGTCGTTCACGAGCAACTGGCATCCTGGACGTCCATCCTCACAGATATGCTCGCATCTCCATATGGAATGTGGAAGGAAACACGGCATTGGCGGCGCTTTGGAATGGCGGAACGGCGGCCGTACATGGACTTGCAGATGAAGATGACATCGTCAGCAGAAGTAGACGGATTGAGCCTCGTCATAGGACTGTATGTCTACCACCAGAACCCCATGATGATTCTGGCCATTCTGTGCCAACTCGCGCGCCTCATGGACACATGTCCGTCGCAAGTGGAGATGTACTGGCCCCAGATCCTCCATTGGGGCATCACATCCCATGCGGTCCAGTCGGTCAACATGCAGTTGTTCTACCTGTACTTTGTCGCTGGGGTGTGTCGGCGGTCCCTTCCATTAGCCATCAAGTCGTCCTGGGAATGCGATGCCGCTAAGATCGATGCAGTCGGCGATCCTTCCAGATATGCAGCTATTTCCCTCATCCAGGTCTACGCGAGCATGATCAGCCTCACCGACGACAACAACAATGCTACGGCCGCCATGGTCGACAAGCTGTTCGTTAGCAACGCCCCCGACACGTCCAAGACCCACCAGATCTTGCTGCAATCTTTGTTTACGACCTCGACGTCGTTGCTCCGAAACCACCCTGCAACGAACTCTACGTTTGGAGAATGGCTGGCTGCCACCAGTGAAGCGGACATTGCAAGAGTCCACGAAACGTGGTCAACGTTGCCGTCGTTCGTGGACCCGTTGCCAGTCCCGTCCGAGGAAGTGCCGATAAACGATGCGACTGCGTCGGACATGACGAGCCTGCGCGGGCGTATGGTGGACGCAAACGACATGGAAGACGTGATGGAGTGTCTCAACGAAGTGCAACAGAACGACAAGCAACAAGACGTATCATCGTTAGTCATCTTCCAAGATACCATGCATGTCGTGAACTCCCTTATCGTCGCGAGCCAAAACTTCAAGCGGCAGATTGAAGATCCACGGGACCGGAAGAAGCATCTGCCGGCAGTATTGACGCGACTGCGCGCCACCATGCCATCTCACGCGATGCTTCCACTGGACCAACCGTGCTGGATCACGGATGTCCTCGTGAATGAAGGCACGGTGTTCTCCACCAAAGCACGCGCGCCAACGATGGTCTGGTTCGAAGGGTTGCATGTCACGTCAATTTCTGACGTCCCGACAGCAATGCCGGAACTCAGTCCCGTTGTTTACCTTTCGGAGGTCCTCCTGGCCGACATACTGTCCCCATCTTCCTCCCCATCATCCTTCTCTTCTCGCGAGTCTTCCATGACCGAAGCGCATCTGTCCGTCTTCGACTCGTGTAAAGTGCGCACCACCGACGACTTTTCGATTTTCACTAGCATGCAGTCTTTTGCGGATAAAAAGAGCCGTATCCGGAAAGAACGGAAAGGGGTAGGGTTCCGACTGTTTTCGCGCGCGTTTTGAGCTCAGTTTTGAATTTGCCGTGGTAGGTGCAACCAGGATGGGACGTCGTGCCGGTGATCGCCAAGAGCTTGGACGACATGCGACAGGAAGTGTTTGTGATGCAGCTCATGCACGTCTTCGACCATATCTTCCGCTGCGAAGGCCTCGGTGGACTCGACCAGCTCTGGCTACGACCATACTCGTACGTGAATGAACGCGGGCGGTTACATAAGTCGTTGAAATTAAGTTTCGTCATGCAGGATCATGTGCTGTGGCGATAATTGTGGCCTCATGGAAGTCCTCACCGATTCCATGTCGGTCTCGGATGCCAAGATGCAGTACATCTCAGTTGCACCTCCTGGATGCGTCACAGCTTCGCTGGTGGACATATTTTCCAAGCGATACGGCGATCCCGACTCGACAACTTATGCTGTATGGATCGCTCTCTACCTACCTATCTGCTCCTGATAATTATATTCATATTTTTTAATAGGTCGCACGGAAAAACTTTGTCCGAAGCATGGCGGCGTACAGTTTATTTTGCTACGTACTCCAGGCAAATCTTGTTCTCCTGCCCTGCTCCATTAAATTACCGTGTAGATCAAGGATCGCCATAACGGCAACCTGATGCTGCATGCAGAAGGCTATGTGATGCACATTGATTTTGGTTTCTGCTTTGGAACGGCCCCAGGTGGTGCCTTCAGTATCGAGGGCGCCCCGTTCAAGCTCACAGACGACATGATTGCCGTGATGGGGACCGCTGGCATGACAGCATTTCAAGCTCTGCTGGCGGATGGCCTCGTTGCGCTTCGTCGCCATGCTTCACGGGTTAGTCTCTCGAATTGCAACTCCCACGTCTCATTACACGAAACTGTGCAGATCCTCTCGCTCGTGAAAATCACGGCACATGCTTCGCCCTTTCCCTGCTTCCAAGGAGATGTTCTTACCATGTGCCGGCGACTCAAGGAGCGGCTGTGCGCCGATGCTGTGGACGATGATTGGGTGCGGCAGCATGCCCTTGCGCTCATTGCCCGCAGCGCCGGCAGTGTCCGAACTAAATTGTACGTTGTCCTCCATCAACTCAAATTTAATGTACTCTGGTTGTAGATACGACCAATTTCAGTTTCGAAGCAACGGGTACTTGGTTTAATCATCATTTTTGTGCTTCTTCTTTTTGCTACTTCTGCTCTTTTTCTGACTCTCTTGTCGTTTTTCGCCTTCTTGGGCGATCGACTTCGTTTTCGCTTCTTCTTGGGCGGCGACGGCTCACGACGACGAGAGCGGCGGCTGCCATCGTCGTCGGTGCTACTGTCGCTTTCGTCTGACGACTAGGTATCATGCAATAACGTAAAGTGCCAATTTATAAACGCCATTTTGGGGCCAAATTCAACAAATTGGATCAAAATTGAAACATGTTTTTCTTGAAGAGTTTTAACCCAAATCCAATAATTCCACGTGGGATTTACTCCAAGAGGAGGCATATGTCCGTCCTGTTTCATCATTTTTCGAATTATGAATACTAGTCCTAAAGGTAGAGAATTCCCTGGGAGATGCGGGAACAGGACACAAATACATCACTATGAAGAATTCAAGGTCCTTGATTCGTTCAAATTATTATGAAGAATTCAAGGTCCTTGATTCGTTCAAATTATGGTGTGCCATTGTCGAGGGGATATATATGCATCTTTGGCTTTATTCAAGTTGTGGCGTGTGAGAGCATCCCCACCGGCTGATGAAAACATAGAGCTGAAAAGACCCGTTTATTGGGTGCGTGCTGTAACAGTAGTACATCACTTCACAGCCAATCCACACTGATTGGCGGAAATAGTAGTCCTGATGGAGCAAATTCGTGTTGGACGCCCGCTGGCGATTGAGATTTTGGAGCTCTCGCCAGTGGAGAATCTAGTGCAGCAGGGTTGGCATACATTCTATTGTCTGTAAGATTCATATTCATGTTGCCGGCGTGCTTCAGGACATCGGGATGGCATGCTTCGTTGAAGAAGTCCATTGGGACCTCAATCGCATAGAACTGTAAATGACCCAACAGTTCTGTTGAGAAATCTGTGTTTATGGAGCGTTTACATCATGATGTAAAATTTATTGGCAACCGGTAAGGGGCTGAAAAATGTAATTTTTGCTGATGTAGTGATGTACATTGAAGATTTTTACATTTCTACATCAGCCTGTCTGAGTCAACCAAGTACGGTACTGATCTGCCACTTCCACGGAAACGAACGTATGCGCGCGACAGTTAGACACATTATTATTCGCTTGAACATCTTAATGCTGATATTTGTATTAAATATGCGTATTTTTATTCATCCCCATAGTTAGTTACGTTTTGCAAATCGATTTATACATGTGCATGCGTACATGCGGGAAAGGCGCGATGCAGGTCAGCGATTTCTCAATGCATACTGCACAACAGGTCACGAAACTCTCCATTCCTCATAACAACAACCAATACTATCAACAACACCTTATTGCATGTCGCCTGAATCAACACTTGTGGAGAACGACAACTTCGAACTTGGCATATTCGTGGTATTTCAAGAATATGCGTGTACTGTACATGCGGGTAAGATGCCTCATGCCAGAGAGAGCTATGTATGCGCAGACCATGCTGCATAGGCTGAACTAGTAATGGACTATCTTGTAGTACGAGTAGTATTGCTCTAAGTATTACACAGCTCGAGAAAATCGTCCTCAAAGTTCGCCCATTTTCGATGTATGCGCATGTCGACATGTCGTCCGAGTACGACAAAACATGCACATGCGCAAAAAAATATTTGCATCCGCAAATGTAATGCAGTATCCGGAACTGCTCAGTTTACATTGCAAAATGGCGCGAAGTTTCTGAATACAAGCACCACACTTGCAGAGAGCGATAGAAAGTGTGTGTACAGCAGCCAATATCACTCTCCAACAAGTTGGATGACTGCGAAGAAAGTCTAGATATTGCTTCGCCAACCATGAATGCCTCGATTTTGGCATCCATAACTTCGTGTTATGATGAGTTTTTCTCTCCAGTTCCAGCATCTCCCTGGTGAACCATCCATAATTAACTCGCTTGGATGGGAAGACAAATGGAAAATGCCATTTTTAAAATGGAGATAAAACGTCCATTTTGAAAGATGGCGTTTTTGAAATCAAATAAAAGTTGTACTCCCGAGTACTAGTTGTCAAGCCTCCATTCTATTCGTTCCAAATCAACATATTTTAGCCAATCAAATCTTCCCATCATCTTGAACGCAGAGCTGCTGCTCATGCGGACGATTGCCAAAATGATGTCAAGCCTCCATTCTATTCGTTCCAAATCAACATATTTTAGCCAATCAAATCTTCCCATCATCTTGAACGCAGAGCTGCTGCTCATGCGGACGATTGCCAAAATGATGTCAAGCCTCCATTCTATTCGTTCCAAATCAACATATTTTAGCCAA